CAATTTTCGACGAGAAAATATGCGTTCTGAATTCAAGAACTCTGCCCAAATAGAAAAGCTGTGACAAACATTCCGCTGTTATCATGCTGTTATAGCAATATTTAGGGAAGCAAATTCAACCTCAAGGTTCAGTGTTTGTATTTAGACAGGTTTTCTCTCGGTTAAATCGACTTGTTAAAGGGAAATCTAATAAGCTGGGCTATTATCACGACAAAAAAGCAAAAAATGAATTTGCCCCAAAGAAACTCGCTTACACAGTCCCGTTTCTCATAAATCGAAGGCATGCTGAGCTTCATGCATGACTGGTCACGCCACTCAATTTTGAGCCAATCACGGATCCCGTTATATGAAAAATAAATTACAGTAATTTATGCATTAGGTTCGACACATGAGGAGAACGCCGCATGAATCAGCTGCCGCTCTAACGTCGCATAGTGCGACGGACCCTGCCGAATTTAATGTTGTTTGCCGCACCAAACTTAACTTGCCGAACCAAACTGATTTAAACGCCGCTCTTCTGCCGTAATTAACTCGTCAGTTAGGTTCGGCGCATGAATGGAGCGGCGTTTGGAACGGGCCTAATATCCTCTTACTAACCAAGCGCAAGGGCCGTACTGGGGAATATTGGCGCAAGGTCGTGGCAGTACGGACCGAGCGCAGCGAGGTCCGTACAAAAACGACTCGACTGCTGTATAAATAACGACTGTACGGCTCGAGCTAGCTACAATCCATGACAAAAGTCCTTGGCACACTGGGTCAGATAGCGTTGACAAGATATTTTAGGGACAATACCTAATTACATCATTAGAATAGGGAACCCCCTTCCCCCCGACAATGTTGTAAGCTGGCAATGACGACTTCATCACGATAAACAACATTAAATTGGGGGGAAGGGGACGAACTGATAAATTTCCCCGACTGATATTGCAGAAAGTGGAAAGGTCTGCCAAGACTTTTGGCGGAGATTGTTGGTTAGTGAGTAGTTTGTCATATGGCCCTTGCGCCATGCTTGTTTGTTTTCGGTGAGAACGCACTTCCGGTCATATGAATTCAAAGGGCTTCCGCGTTTTTGATGACGCGAGCAACTCAGAAAGAACAAACTACCACGAGTTCGAAAACAAATTTATTTAACGTAAATCATGTCGAATATAAACAAGACTTCAAGACGATTTTATAAACAAACAGAAAAGGGCAAACACGCCGAATTCTCCCGCTTCAAAAAGAGCATCTTATTCGTTTTCGCCAGTCGCCTTAGCGGCTTGCGGCTTGTTCAGTTCCTTTGCCGTGCTCGTGAACCAGTGACTTGCACTTCGCAGCTACTACGCTTCTCGATTTTTCAAACCCATTGTCCTTGAGTATGTTGAATGGATATTCTTTCGCAGTTAAGTATCGCTGTATAGTGCGCTGGAAACTGGAAATTGTTGCTAGCTCGCACTCTTCTCCATTTTTCCTGCGTGTGTTCAGAAAAAAATTGGACAAAAGGGAGTCAAGCTCCGACGCAGGTAGGCTTTCGATTGTTTCATTTGTCATGCCGTTAGCTTCCACATAGCGGAGAAAAGTGTCCATATCAGTAGCCGTCTTCTTATTTGTGTTTTACACTTTTCTTTATTTTCATATGAAAATCGTCTATGGCCTCCTGACTTTCACGGATGCCTGTTTCAGTTTCTACATCACACGTTTCCAGATCTTCAGGATAATAAAATTCGCTTGACAAATATTCGTCTTCCTCGTCCAGGTAGTTTCTTTGCGGAAAATGAGAGTGTTTTTATATGTTTTCTTCTCGTAGTTTCAGCTGCAAATTTTGAATTTGCCGGCTTTCGAGAACAAGAAATACACAGCTTATGGCCGTTTCCATGGAAACGGTCCGTATGGCGAAATCTCGACCAGGATAGAACCAATCAGAAGGCTCGGATTTACCTCAAGACTAACTTGCCATATACTTATTCTGACTACACTCACACAAGACATTCAATGTGAAACGTTTATTGAGGATGAGTCAGTCAGCCATCAGATTCAATGTATCCTAGTGTTTACCTCACAAATTTAACTAATGGTTTCAAGAATTAGAACCAGTACTACGCCAGATACGAAAAAGTGACTGTGAGCCACTTAACTTTGGAAAATAAATTATGAAAGGGTGTTATGAGGCATTGCTCATTAAGGAACTACTTGTGATGTGACGTGAGGGCAGTCTAGCTTTCCAACAAGCCTTTTTCCATTCAGGGGTGTGTTGTGATATTTGCAAAATGAAAAAGTTCAACGTTAAGAAACTGTTTGTTACTCAGGCCTGCCTACACGTTTTACATTACCTATATCTGTACATGTCTTCGTTGTGCTGTAGTCAAAAACGGCAAGATCATTTTGTTTGGTCAAAAGTGAGGTATAGAGTGAACGAAACACTTGAGCCTGCGATACATAAATAAATCATTTTATGCTTTTACTCAAACTAAACCAGTGATGTCTTTATTCGAGCATTTTTGACAGTCAAGGAAACTATAACATGCTTTTACTTCCTCTTACAGCATTACTCTTATTAATCTTTCTCGGCGGTACATTTAAAGCAGAACCCTAACATTGCAACTTGTACATTTAAAGCAGAAGCCCCTCCTTATATTGTTATTGTTGTTGTTAGTTCAAGCCAGTAAATTCAAATTTGACGCGAGATAAGAATGTATCTATTCCTCTTGGAGATATCTATCCCACCGTTCCAAAACAGTTTCTTTCACAACCTGATAAATTATAAGAAAAATCAGTGCACTTGATTTAGCCAACTATTTTAAGGAGACGAGATTGGGAAAAAAGATTGTTATATACGAAAGAGCGACTATATTTTCCTATTGACTGCAATATGTGAAGTCTTCCAAACAATTATCGAAATGAAGAGTATCAGCGAAGCGCTTTCTTAAATTAGAATTTACAGTCTGGTTAGAGCTCGTCTAGACTAGGAAACATTATGGCGGTCTATACCACGCCACCTAACTGGCAAAATAACTTATATCCAGGATCAGAAAATTCGCTGTCGAATTAGCGTATTTCTTAACAGAAAAGGGCAGTTTTTCTGCCCTTCTCTAACATTGTAACTTGAGACAAGCACGGGTCGGTTTCACTCGAAGAAGCATCACTTTGCCATCTTCGCTTCTTAGTTATTTTGGTCATTTACCTTTTTTTCGCTGACACATTATTTTTTCTATTTGCACTGTTAAAATATTCCTACTGTATTCCTTGAAAAATTCCCGGAGCTCTGACTTTCTCTTCGTAGTTCGGTAAAGTGCACGTGCATTACTCAACCTGGCGATGATGCCGTCTTCGGGCTGGTTTGCACGTGCAAAGTAAATTGAAGTGCAAGTATAACCAAACAACATAACATTATGAAGCTATATGTAAATGACTCTCCTGCCTCAAACGTAAACGCGAGAAATGCAAACAAAAAAAAGCGAATAAGAAAACACCCGCTTGCGACTTGTGCTTGCGTTTGCACAATAACCACGTGTTAACCCAAGCATAAGTGCGATCTTCCCAACTTTGGTCTGATTATTGTCATGAGAATTGTCGTTTGTTTTGAATTTATACGCTACACTTGTATTTAAGATGCTATTTTACACTAAGTGAAACAGTTTAAAAACTTAACAGGCCTTGCAAAATGAGAAGATTACGGACAAAAATTACACAATCTTTTTTTTTTTTTCATGACCATTTTCATGATCGTTAGTAAGTCAAGGTCGTTTAGAGTTTCGCGAAAGGAACTAGGCAAGTCCAGCTTGTACATTTCCAGATTTGATAATCCTGATGACAGATCGGTTTTAACAGCCATGGAGTGTTACTATTATTGATGAGAATTAAACAATACTACGTACGTGTTCGAAGCAGTCAAGGTTGCACAAGTGCGCAGTTTGCTTTAACGAGAGGATCAGTCCATCAAGAACATCTCTAGATATCTCTATGTCCTTTTTGCCAAGGAAATCTCCAATGGTGACCGGCAAAGGACAAGAAAATTCCCCTTCCTTTGAGATAAAAATAACATTATCATAAGGTAAGAAAATTAAATACAGCCAAATCTGAGACAACACAAATAATAATATGCTGATACAAGGTTTTCCCTTAAAATAAGACTGTGCCGTCTCGTATAATGGACAGTTTTGAAACATTGTTGGAATTCAGGTGATATTCTTATTATTCTTATTATATTTTTACTATTATTATATATGATCAATAACGATTTCTTAAAACATAAGCAAACGAATATTAAAGTTAATACAGTCGAACCTCCGGTTGCGACCATCTCTCGTAATCAAGCGACTACCTCTCCTCAGCGACCAGTTTTCCAAAATACCTAAAGTTTTCCAGTCAAATCACTATATTTGGAACCTCTTGTAAGCGACCACCTCTCGTAAGCGACCGCGACCACTTTAGAGCCAAAAGTTTGAAATTTTATTTTGTTCTCAACCTCTCGTAAGCGACCTCTTGACAGATGATAGAGCGAAAATTGGATAATATTGTGGCGTTGTAGCGCAATACTGGATTGGACAAGACACTGATATTTCTCAGTGGCAAACACA